TAATGGGTAGAGGTAGGGCCAAGGGTATTTGGTACTAGTTTCATTTATTACGAACTGTATTTTGTGAAGTTTCGTGTTAATTTTCTCGATTTCTCCCCCAAGATTTTATAAGTCATTTGCATGTACATTTACCTCGTAAGTCTTTTTGTTTTCTTGACCGGGACTCCCTAAATCTAAAAGTCTAAGTTTGCCACTGTCTGATAGGTTTTGTGAATGATCCATAAACCCATCTTGAGTTGAGAAGCCCACTGAAAACCTAATTGAATTATGACCTAAAATTTTTTATCATCTCTTTGCATGCCTTGAACTCATAAATCATAATTATCTTTGATTAATATCATGAAAAATCCCAAACGATACACCGGTGACAAATTTACCTTAAATTAATTTTTGGGTCACTAAAATCCTCAAACTGATACGCTCGTGACAAATTTACCCTAAACTAATATGGATTTCTAAGTGAACTTGCCATGTCAATTAAATTATTATCCAGCTCAGTAATTTCACAATAAAATTTGACGGAAACTAATAGAGGAAAAATATGTTACTAGTGTATCAATTTGGGGGGTTTTTAATGACCCAAAAATTAGTTTTGGGTAAATTTGTCACAGGTGTATCAGTTTGGGGTTTTTTATGATCCAAAAATTAGTTTGGAATAAATTTATCACAGGTGTACTAGCTTAGGGTTTTCCTTGGTATTAACCCATTATCTTTTGAGTTTTTTTTTTTTTTTGGGTAACAAAAAGTTTAGGTGGATGGGAGATTACTCCATTTCAAGATAAGGCCATGTCGCAGGCATACTTTGAGGACTTATAGCGGACTTGCATTTCGCTTATTAACGAGAGACTGTAAGTAGCGAGAATCGAACCTAAGCACGATCAAACACAAAATGTCCGATCCTTACTAGCTAAGCCAACCGCTGCCGGCTTTTCTTGAGTTATTTAATCTCCTGGTCATACAAGTCTTCCTGTTCTTGACCCAAAAGATGCGTTTGACATGTTGATGGGGGGCAAGACTGGGAAACAGGAAAGATCACGACTTTCCTTCTGGAGACGCAGAGTGACATACATATTCTTTGTTCGCGAGCTGACGGCATGCATTACGTTTTGGCACTATTGTGCGTAGAAACTTCTTGTGTTTGCAGATGACGACATGCATTACGTTTGGCACTATTGTGTTTGAAACCTCCTGAAAACGCGTGCTGTCTCTAGCCAATTTGCATATGCAGCGAGGCCAATTGACTCACTGTTTATTGCTTTAAGGAAAATTAAGAGGGTTGTTTTAGAACTCCTATGCTAAGTTGTTAATTTCAGTTTTATTGCATAGGCATTTTATGTTTCAGTCGTACCATACATACTCGAGTCGACCACTATTGTGATATAAACGTGGAAGCTAACCGGGATTTTGCGAGTTAAGTCAATGCAAAAGCACCGAAGAAATAAAACAAGAAACAATGAAGGACATCAAAGGTTTACGTGGTTCGGTCCAAGTATTGGTATCTACGTTAACGGGAGAGAGCTAACAACAAATAATCCACTATAATCGGAGAATTAGAGCTACAATCTGCCAAATCGTTGTCAAGGTCCCTCGCGAGCTGCTCGCGGAAATCCCCAGTCCTCAACGTGATCAATCGATTTGGGGATAAAACAAAAGGGTTTTTTTGGAGTTGAGCGAACTGATTTGGGCCTTTTTCCTTTTATTGAGACGCATTGAAACGAAGAAGAAAAGAACGTCGCAGTTTTGATTTGGGACAAGAAGGGCTCCGCACTGAAACGCATTGAAACAAATGAACGAAAAAATAAAAAGTTGCCGTTTTGATGTCCGGCGTCCACGTCAGGGCCAGTTCGGCCACATAGGCCGGTCGGCGCTGACCGGGTATCCACGTAAGCATTTTTTAGGGTAAATTGCCCGGATGGATTCAATTGGCAAATTGTCAAAAGATTTAAGACTGAAATAGAAAAATCAAAAGGTACGGGATCAAATTGGCAAAACTTTTAATAAGTTTACTACTTTTTGGACAATTTTCGCTCTTCTCGTGCGGCTCGTTGTTAATCCTTCTCGAAGTTCGTTATTACGGCTCCAAGAACCTAGTCCTCTTATCTTTTTCCACCTATCAAAGAAAGTGGTCCGCAAAGAGATTAGAGCCAATCGAACAAAGAAAAGAAAACGGAATCCTCGTGTGATAAAGTGGTGACTTCCTTATTACTGTAGCAATTGGGAATCTCCTTACTAACATTCGATTGGGTCAATAAGGGGCTCAAACTTGAGATATTAATTTAACATCGATGATTCCATTTTATTCATCTAAGGCTCTGTTTATTTCGCGAAAAATGAATGAATTTGCAAAACGATTTCCTAGAAATGATCTTCTGTATTGCTTACAAAATGAATGAACAAAAAAAATATTTCCATCATCAACCAAGATGTTTATGCATAAATTGTTGTCGGTAACAAAAATATTTTTTTATTGATCGATTATTTCGAGCGATACAAACGATCATTTTATCCCAAATCATTTATCTTTAGCAAAAAGGGTGTGTTCGTTTCACGAAAAATTAGTGATTTGGAAAACATCTTTCAAAAAATGAGTGCTTATATCGTTTTGAAAAATTAGTCAACAGAAATTATTTTCATCATAAATAACAATTTATCCCTAACTATTTTCATGGGCAACGAGAAAATTTCCCATTAATTTATTTTTGGATTAGTATCACGAAAAACCCCAAACTGACACACCTGTGACAAATTTACCTTCCATTAAAGTGGATTAATACCACGAAAAATCACAAACTAGCAAATTTGTGATAAACAGAGGGGTAAAACCCTAAACTGGCACATCCGTCAATTGTCACGTGCTATCCAACTTAGCAATTTGACGGTAAAATTTAACGGAAACTAACGGGGGGTAAAATTATCATAGGTATACAAGTTTGGGGTTTTTGATGGTAAAAAAATTAACTTTGTGTAAATTGGTCAATTAGTCACATGTATACTGGTTTGATGGTTTTTGTGGTATTAACCATTTATTTTTCTAAACCATATAAGTGATCTTTTTTCGGAAAATGTTTTTCAAATCACTTATTTTTCGCGAAACGAACACACTCTAAGTACCTATTTGATTTTAATTTTCTTATTGCCAATGGGATATAACATGATCCTCGTTGTGCTTCCTTTGGTCCAAATTATTTTCTACAGCGGCATAAATGGTTTCACTAGCTGTAAGTATAGCTTGCTTTTCGATGTGTGGATACACCATTGTAGGTGTCTAAAAACCTTTTGCGATTACTTGGTTGATGGACACTACTAATTAAAGGGTGGTCACGAATTGCAAAAGCGTTGAACGCATTGGAGGACGCAAAGATGGTATTTGCGACGGGATCGGATGCGGATGCCATGACGTATTATGCAGATGACGACATGCATTACGTTCGGCTTCTATTGTCCCAAAAAACCTTCCTTCGTTTTCAAAGTCTGAAGAAACGACCAAAAACTTGCTTTTGTCAACACTCTTGTCAAGAAAAAAAAAATTGATGTGTCAATCACTTTCAATCTCATTTTCAAGATAATTAAGAATGAATTTTTTTTCCTTAATAACCCATCATTACACCAATTGGATGGTTAAGATTTGTTTCTTATTTTGCTATCTTTTTCCATTTCCTTTTATACCTTTTTTCGTCCATGGTATAAAAATTATTTTCTCGGAATGACCCTACCCTCTCCTTCTCCTTCTCTTCCATAGCTTTAATTCCCGTCGAAACTTAATGACTCCTCTGTAACTTTCTAGTCCATGTCAAAACTTCGCGGAAATAGCGAGAGAGTCGAAGCTCATTTTCTTCCGTAATTATCTTATTCATGTCGAAACTTGACAAAAGCAGCAAGAGCATCGAAGCTCATCCTCTTTTGTAACCATTCGGTTCACATCGAAGTTGGCAAAAGTAGCGAGAGAGTCAAAACACTATACTTTTTAATATTGCAAATGTAAATAATCCTATTACTAGATTTGGCATTATTTTGGTTAATTTATCTCGTCGATAGCGCCATAAATATTTTACATTTCTTGTAGTCGATTCTATATGCTACAGTGATCTTTTTTGCTATTTAAGGTTTAGATCAGATACTGATCTTGGATTGATTGTTGGAGATTTCTCCATCTATGCATTTCTATTTCTTTAGCAATAAATTGTGATAAATACTTACAATTTTTGTTTGTGCATTTACACTGATATGGTAGTTCCTACCAAACAATGAATGGGGTATAATATGAAAATAGCCGCTCTATTACTACAATTCACTAATAGTAAAATCTCTTAATTTCAGTTCCATCTTATCTAGTTCTATCTTGACTTGAAATCAAGACGACCAAAGACAACTTTAGAGAATAAATTAACAAAGACAACTTTACACTTATCCCCAGGATACCAATCAATTCATTTTGTCATTTTTTTAAAGATTTTTCTTTTCATTTTCTATACTCTCACGTTTTCTCTATTTAAATTCTTGTTCTTTTAATGTCTAATCAAATTTTTCTACTTTCACGAATATTTTAATCAAGTTCCTCTAACACCAAATTCGACTAATTTCAATTGACGTGGCCACTAGACGACGCAAAGTGTGACACGGATAAAATGCGAGTCCCCACGTGGACATATGCAGAAAAATGTAGCAAATATAGGCAACATGAGTACAATGCGGATGCAACGACGTCGTCCAAGGGCCACGCCCACTGGACTTGGGCAAACTGGGTGGTGGAAGGATTTGATCAGAAAATTTGCGAAAGCGGAAGGATTTAATCAGACAAATCGAAAATATAGAAGTTAAATTAAAAAAAAAAAAGAAGCCTAAATATTGAAGTAACTTCTTTTTTCCCAACCTAGGAAAATATTTATAGAGTCAACAATTCAAATGCCGTCCTCTGGGGCCTAACGCACGCACAGTCTATCCTATATAAACTCCATGTTCACGTCTCTTGTCCTCCATCTCTCTCTTACTTATGAGCTCGATTCAAAGAGCAACTTTTCATACGTAAGTACACAAGCACACATCAGCCGTAAACAGAACACAAAACGCTGTCATCTATCTCTTCTTCTTCTTCTACTTCTTTGTGCTAGGAAAACAGAGCAAGAGCAACGGTTTAGCAGACACCCTCATCCATGGATGGAGGAGATATATACAGCGCGAGCAACAGCCTTCGTGCGACCAGCTCCTCCATGTGGAGGAACCGTGCGGCGACGGTGGACGCGTTCTCAAGGTCCTCCCGCGATGAGGACGATGAAGAAGCTCTGAGATGGGCTGCTATCGAGAAACTCCCCACCTTCGAACGTCTCCAGAAAGGGATCCTGACGGCTTCGCGCGGCGGTGGCGCTAACGAGATCGACATCAAGAACCTGGGTTTTCATGAGAGGAAGAGATTGCTTGAGAGGTTGGTGAGGGTCACTGAGGAGGACAACGAGAGCTTCTTGCTGAAGCTCAGGAACCGCATTGATAGGTACAGTCTCTGTTTGCTCTGTTTTTTGGAACTTCTGTTTGTGGGGTTCCTGAAAAAAGAGAAAATGTTTACCAAATTTGCCACGTTTCTTGGTATGTTACCAAGGAAAATCCTCATCATGTCAGACCATCTCTTGTTAGTGAAAATTTTCTCGTCCAGAATGGTGGGAATTGTTCATTCATGATCATGCATATTTTGTTTTTTTCCCGAGAAAGTTTTCCCGGTATTCTCAAGATGTTTTTTTTTTTTTTTTCGAGTTTGAATAATTGTGGCTTTCGTGAATCTGGTTGCAGAGTTGGACTTGATATTCCTACAATTGAAGTCAGATTTGAGCATTTGAACGTGGAGGCAGAGGCTCATGAAGGAAGCAGAGCTCTGCCCACCGTCATTAATTTCTGCACTAATATTCTGGAGGTAAGCTAGCAACCACCTAAATATGTGGAATGTAAAAGCCAAAAAGGCAGCTCCATTTTTGTTAGGCTCCTAATTCAAGTGTAGGACTTGGATCCTCATCGATATGGACTTCGATATGTGATTTATATGGCGTTGACTCTCTCACCACAATAGCTATTGAAATGTGGAGAGAGCCCGAGACCATCTAAACCACACATCAAAGACCCATACCATATATGTGAGATCTAAGTCCCATCCCTTGCAATTAGGATCATAACAATCAACCATGCTCCGCAATCTCGGCACACACATGGGGTTGGCTTTTGTACTAGCCTTTTGCTAGTCCAGGGCAAACACTGCAATACCAGGGTCACCACTCGCGCTGCTCGATTGCAACTGGGAGAGATGGCGGATGGCTCTTATATCAATCGATATAGACTTTAGGAGAACCACAATCCACAAGCTAGCTATTGAGGTGTGGGAACCCAATAAAATATAAACCACACATCCAAGTCCCTATACTATGAGTCCCATAACTTGCAATTAGGATCATATTGATTTTCTGACTAAAATGATATTCAGTAAATTGCTTGGATGTTCTGATTGTTTCTTTGTTTAACCTTTACTTTTCTTTTTGTTTCTTTCTACCCCTGAAGGGTTTCTTCAATTTTCTGCACATACTTCCCAGTAGAAAGAAGCACTTGACTATCCTTCAAGATGTCAGTGGGATCATCAAACCTGGCAGGTGAGCAAATCAAAACCAACTCAAAAATCAGTTCTTCAAGCCTCCAAATTGCACTGAACTGAACTTAATTTTATTTCACCGCGTGTGATTTGGTTCCATCTCCGAGCTTGGTGCTGTTTTCTGTAAAAGCATTACATGTTGGGTAGTTATTCAAAGGTCTAAACTAGAAATTGTCACATTCTTGTTGGAAAGAAGTTTTTAGCGTGTCCATTGGATTACCGCTTCAAATTCAATTTGATACTAATATATTTCCTTTCTTTCAACGAGAACAAATCGAACTGAACTGAATCTGGATTTGTCTTTTTCCACGATTGAAACGGTGAAAAATCAGCTTTACTTTTCTTTTCTGGCAAGTTTCTTTCTCATTTGGATGGACCATTTTGCAGGATGACTTTGCTTCTGGGTCCGCCTAGTTCAGGGAAGACCACACTCTTGTTAGCTTTGGCCGGCAAGCTTGATCCTGAACTAAAGGTTAATGCAAGTCACCTCTCATTTAATTTAATCCCTTCTTTTGTGGATTTTCAACTTTTATAAGATACATCAAAATGTCATCCAATAATACTGAAAATGTGAAGATTGTTCCTCAGGCAACAGGAAGGGTAACTTACAATGGACATGGCTTGGATGAGTTTGTGCCCCAAAGAACCGCGGCTTACATAAGTCAATACGATCTTCACATAGGAGAAATGACAGTTAGAGAAACTTTGGCCTTCTCTGCAAGATGTCAGGGTGTTGGATCACGATACGGTTGGCGAATTTGAATTAATACTTTTATATCTTTATAATATCATATTTGAGTTTGACTTAAGGCAATTTTTTTTTATGAATAAGAAATGCTGATTCTTTTGGCGGCATCTGCAGATATGTTGGCGGAGTTGTCGAGGAGAGAGAAAGTGGCAAGTATAAAACCAGATCCTGATATTGATATCTTCATGAAGGTAATTAAACAAGGAGAGCTTAGAGTTGTTTTCCGTTTTTCCAATTAAAGAAAGGAAATGAATTAAGTCATCCATAAGAAGAAACTGATGAGGAAGTAATGTTTTTAGTCAAACTCCAGCAACCAGTTTCTAAGTTTTTGAATTCTTAAACCTTTGTGGGTGTCTGGCTTTTCTAATGCAATGGGTCTAATTCCACAGGCAGCAGCAACAGAAGGTCAGGAGGCTAATGTTGTTACTGATTATATCATCAAGGTAACTTCGACAAGAATGGCCCCAAAATCATGCAGGCACTTGACAAATAGCAGAACTTTAATGCACATGTTTTCTCCACAGATATTAGGGCTGGAAGTATGTGCTGATACGATGGTCGGAGATGAAACGTTGAGGGGTATTTCTGGAGGACAACGGAAGCGTGTGACCACAGGTTAGAACTAGAAGCATATCAAACTTTTAGTAACTGAAAATTTTCAATTCTCTGACCTGTAATTTCTAGGTGAGATGCTGGTTGGGCCTGCCGAGGTATTGCTCATGGATGAGATATCTACTGGGCTCGATAGCTCGACGACATACCAAATCGTCAACTCCCTGAAACAATTTATTCACATTCTTGATGGAACGGCTGTTATCTCTCTCCTCCAGCCAGCTCCGGAGACCTACGATCTGTTTGATGACATCATTCTCCTATCTGATGGTCAGATCGTTTACCAGGGTCCACGTGAACTCGTCCTAGATTTCTTCGAATCCATGGGATTCAAATGCCCTGAAAGGAAGGGTGTTGCCGATTTCTTGCAGGAAGTATGTAAAAATATGAAAATTTTGTCTCGGCAACTCTTAGGATTTTAAAGATATTCTCTGTAGGAAGTCTCTTGCAATAACGTACTTTTCTACCTTTCCATAGGTAACGTCAAGTAAAGATCAGCATCAGTATTGGGTACGCAAAGACGAGCCTTACACTTTTGTAACGGTTCGGGAATTTGTGGAGGCATTCCAGTCATTTCACGTGGGAAGAAAACTCGGGGATGAACTTTCCACTCCATTTGATAAGAGCAAGAACCACCCGGCCGCTTTGACTACCAAAAGATTTGGTGTTGGAATGAAGGATTTGCTGAAAGCTTGCATTTCAAGAGAGTACTTGCTTATGAAAAGGAACTCCTTTGTCTACATCTTCAAGATCACTCAGGTAAATACCAACTTCATTCTCTTTCAGTTCACTTCAACCATGAATTGTCTGAGGTAGTTAAACTGATATTGACTTGTTTTATTAGCTCACAATTATGGCATTTATTTCGATGACCCTATTCTTGCGGACTAAGATGCATCGGGATACCATAACTGATGGAGGAATTTACATCGGTGCCTTGTTCTTCACCGTGACTACAATCATGTTCAATGGAATGGCGGAGCTTTCGATGACCATAGCCAAGCTCCCGATTTTCTACAAGCAAAGAGACCTCCTCTTCTACCCTGCATGGGCATATGCTCTTCCAACCTGGATTCTAAAGATCCCTATCACATTTGTGGAGGTTGCAGTTTGGGTGTTCATCACCTACTTCGTCATTGGATACGATCCAAATGTTGGAAGGTAAGAAGAACTGTGATTATTCTTTGGTGGTAAGATGGAAATTCTAATCTCGTTGTCATGGTTGAGACATTCTATCGTCTATATTGTGTTGTAGGTTGTTCAAGCAGTATCTTTTGCTTGTGGCCGTTAATCAGATGGCCTCTGGATTGTTTCGATTGATCGCAGCACTTGGGAGAAACTTAATCGTTGCCAACACATTCGGGTCGTTTGCGCTGGTCACACTCTTTGCGTTGGGCGGAGTTGTTCTTTCCCGAGGTATTACGAATACTAGAGTTCAACCTCTTTCTTTATTTTGTTTGTAGCTTTTTTTTCATAAGCAGTCCTAATCCTGATTTCTTTGAATTGTAGAGGACGTAAAGAAATGGTGGATTTGGGGCTACTGGATATCTCCTTTAATGTATGGGCAGAACGCGATGGTCGTTAACGAGTTTTTGGGATCAAGTTGGGATAACGTAAAGTCTTGTAACTGCTTAATGCCAATTTTTTGACCTTTCATAGATATGAATCTCTGATTCACTGATTCCTCTAGTGTTATTCCCTATAATAGATTCCCCCAAATTCAAGTTCAAACGAACCACTGGGAATTCAAGTTTTGAAGTCTCGTGGGTTCTTTACTGAAGCATACTGGTATTGGATAGGAGTTGGGGCATTGCTTGGGTTTGTCATCCTCTTCAACTTTGGGTTTTCGGTGGCTCTTGCTCTTCTCAACCGTAAGTGCCTTTTACTTTTCTTCTTGTTCAAGTTTCTGTCAACAGGAGCTTACCTACTCAAGCTTCATGTGATGATGCAGCCTTTGGCAAATCCCAGACAGTAAAATCAGATGATCCTGAGGGCAATGAGGACGTTAATAGAAGGGGAGGATCAATTCAGTTGCAATCTCAAGGCTCTAGTCTCAAAAATGAATCGGGTATAAAGTCATGATAGTTGGTTTCTTTTCATTTTCTATCATTTAGCAGTAGTTAAGACCTCAAAGGGGTGAACAAAAGGCTTTGGTCCATCAAGGACTCGTGTTACTTCTTTTCCTATCTATTCTATTGGGTCTTGTAGGGAGGTCATCCGGGTCTTCACCTACACGGCCCGAGACAGCCGTTGCCGCCAATAGGAAAAGAGGAATGGTGCTCCCATTTGAGCAGCACTCAATTACATTCGATGAAATAACTTATTCAGTTGATATGCCACAGGTAGCTGTGTTAAGCTATGAAATGTCTGAAGATAGTACTGTCTTGATATATTATCATAGTAGATCATAAGTGTTAAAGCTCGAATGTTTTATCTTGGCAGGAAATGAAGAACCATGGTGTTCTCGAGGATAAATTGGTCCTCTTGAAAGGTGCAAGTGGTGCTTTTAGGCCAGGTGTTCTTACAGCTCTAATGGGCGTCAGCGGTGCTGGTAAAACTACTCTGATGGATGTGTTGGCTGGAAGAAAAACCGGAGGATACATCAAGGGGAACATAACAATTTCTGGGTATCCAAAGAATCAAGATACATTTGCTCGAATTTCCGGATATTGCGAACAAAACGACATCCATTCACCTCATGTTACTGTCTATGAGTCCCTACTTTACTCGGCATGGCTGCGTTTGCCTCCTGGCGTGGGCGACCAAACCAGAAAGGTTTGCATCTACCACCACAATATATTTCTACCGGGATTGCCTTCTCAACTCAAAACAAATTGTGGAAGTGCTTGCCGCTTAGTTGGTTATGTAGTCTAATGGAGGATCAATCTAATTCAAATAATTTCTAATGGAAAAAAATGTTGTAGATGTTTGTCGAGGAAGTCATGGAGCTTGTGGAGCTAAATCCGCTGAGACAGGCCTTGGTTGGTTTGCCTGGTGTGAATGGTCTATCCACCGAGCAACGCAAAAGGCTGACCATTGCGGTTGAACTAGTCGCAAACCCCTCCATCATTTTCATGGACGAACCAACCTCAGGGCTTGATGCAAGAGCTGCTGCTATTGTCATGAGAACAGTTAGGAATACAGTGGACACGGGGAGAACGGTCGTATGCACAATTCACCAACCAAGCATTGATATATTTGAAGCTTTCGATGAGGTGAGTTATGTGAACTCATTCAAAACACGAAAAATCTGTATGCAGCGCACTCAAACTTAGAAGCTATTGCATTTTTACTTGTTCTGTAGCTTTTCTTAATGAAACGAGGGGGGCAGGAGATATATGTCGGTCCTCTGGGTCGTCATTCTTCTCATCTGATAAAGTATTTTGAGGTACAGACTGATTCACTTACATAATCTGGCTTCGATCGTACTTTTCTTTTGCTACTTGAATCACCAAGGTATCTTCAAACTGAAGGGAATCCAAGGAGTTAGCAAAATCAAAGATGGCTATAATCCAGCAACTTGGATGCTCGAAGTTACAAGCCCAGCACGAGAACTTGCCCTGGGTGTCGATTTTTCTGATTTATACAAAAACTCAGATTTGTACAGGTGAGTTTACTATCGAGTTCCAACTTTTAGTCTTGCTATTGACCTGTACAATGTCATTGGGAAAACACATTTTTGTGATTTTCAGGAGAAACAAGGCTTTGATTGAAGAGTTGAGCATACCTCCTCCAAATTCTAAGGATCTCTACTTCCTGACTAAGTATTCTCAGTCAACTTTCACCCAATTAATGGCTTGCTTATGGAAGCAACATTGGTCTTACTGGCGGAATCCGCCATATACGGCTGTTCGCTTCCTCTTCACCATCGTCATTGCCTTAATGTTTGGGACTATGTTCTGGGACCTCGGCTCTAAAACGTAAGTTCTGCCTAGACTGTCAATCTCTGCCTCATTCATTCTCGAAGTTGTGTTCCTGAAAGTTAGGTTCACAGGACCCAGAGTCAAGATTTGATCAATGCGATGGGATCTATGTATGCTGCTGTTGTCTTCCTTGGGGTCCAAAATGCGTCTTCTGTGCAACCAGTTGTAGCGGTGGAGAGAACCGTTTTCTATAGAGAGCGAGCTGCAGGGATGTACTCAGCCCTGCCGTATGCATTAGCACAGGTAAAATTGCTTCGAAATGATTACAAGCACGCTTATTCTAAATAGTGTTATGCAGAAATTAATACTGGAAAGCTGCTTACGTGATTAATTTGTATTTCGTAGGTTCTGATTGAAATCCCTTATGTTCTCGTGCAAGCTATATCGTATGGTGTCATAGTTTATGCAATGATTGGATTCGAATGGACCGTTGCGAAATTTTTCTGGTATCTGTTCTTCATGTGCTTCACACTGTTGTATTTCACATACTACGGTATGATGGCCGTGGGCATGACCCCGAACCACCACATCGCTTCCATCGTCTCTTCTGCATTCTACGCCATATGGAACCTATTTTCGGGGTTTGTTGTGCCGAGGACTGTAAGTTCTATAGCAACCCATCGATTTTAATGTTTCTGCTGATTTTGTTTTCAACATCAAGTGAATGCTTGACTAGTGAACATCCTCATGACTTCCTATTTAACAGAGGATACCTATCTGGTGGAGATGGTACTATTGGGCGTGCCCGGTTTCTTGGTCTTTATATGGATTGGTGGTCTCTCAGTTCGGCGATTTAAAGAACACGCTCGACGACACTGGGGGCACGGTGGAAGAATACCTGAGAGATTACTTCGGTTTCCGACACGATTTCCTGGGCGTGATTGCCGCCATGATGATAGTATTCACGGTGCTCTTTGCATCCGTTTTCGCCATTTCCATAAAGGTGCTCAATTTCCAGAGGCGGTAGACTTCGGCATCGCATCGATCCGCAAAACAAGCATGTCTCTGTCAGAAAATGAGAACGGCTAATGCTCTTACTTTTTGGTTTTCGTCTTTTGCTATACTATGTTTCCAGTCAAATAATGTATACATAAATTGGCATCAAATTACAATAGCAAGTAGATGTATGTTACTCTTTTGCTTTTCTTACAAATGTTTGCGTCTTTTCAATCATATGGATCTTTTCTTGAAGTAAGGATTAAACCGTGAATTGGTTGCTGCAACAAATGAACGGTCCTAAGACCAGAGACCAAATTCAGTAACCAGGAACATGAATCCATATCATGATCATTCCTTTGGGAAAATGGCACAAACAATCCCTCAACTTTGACCAATGTGCAGTGTGCTCCCTGAACTTTTAATTTGTTTAATATAGTCTCTGAACTTTAAATCAACGTGTAATATGATTCCTGAACTTTTAATTTGTTCAATGTTGTCCATGAAATTTTGGTACATACTCAATTTTGTTCCTGAACTATCAATGTTGTCCTTCCATTAATTCAAGTTTAGGGACTACATTGATCATTTTTATATAGTTCAAGGATCATATTGCATATTGGACCAAATTTCATGAACTATTTGTGTCATTATCTCTTTCCCTTTCAAACCATTGATCTCAATGAATGCCAAAATGTCAGAGTTAGTCCTTTTAAACCATTTCATTAGACATCTAACCCCTAAAAAGGGAAATCCAATTAGACACAAATTGAAAGTGATAGGATCATATTTTTCTTGAATTTGATAATCAATGCATTCTCCTGTTCAATTTTGTATTTCTTCTGTGTAGATGGTATGCAGATGGTTCAAGCATATTTATTCTTGGGCCTCCAGGCCCATATATTTTCATATATTTATATAATAGTGGGCATGGCGATGACTTTTAGATATTCATACTTGGAGAAACATAAAATTGCGTAATAGTAGATTTCAAAAAACTTATACCTTCAAGAGAGTTCTCTCGTCACTTAATTTATATCATTAAAATTAAACATTGCTAATTTCCATTTCAAACTCAAACTTTTATTTAAAAAAAAATTCTACGACGAGCACAGTGCATATATATGATGTTAAATGGCACCGTTTTGCCCATGATGGGATGTGTGTTTGAGAGGCACCCTTTGAAGAGGTGTGATCGGTTGTCTGTTGAGAGAAGTTAATATAACTTGGCGAAACATCAAATTACATTGTGCAATAGTAGATTTCAAAAAACTTATACCTTCAAGAGAGTTCTCTCGTCATCTAACTTACATTTTTAAAATTAAACATTGCTAATTTCCATTTCAAACTCAAACTTTTATTTGAAAACAATTCTACAACAAACATAGTGCATATATATGATGTTAAATGGCACCGTTTCGCCCATGATGGGATGTGTGTTTGAGAGGCACCTATTGAAGAGGTGTGATCGATTGTCTGTTGAGAGAAGTTAATATAACTTCCTCATGAGAGAGAAAAAGATAACACACATACGTACTAAAAAAGAACGACATACGTTCTCCTCTCTCAATCAGAAAACACACAAAGGGTTCTATCGTTAATTTGAGAAGACGATCATCATTAACGCTATGGAACAAAAATATTTTCCTTGTGATCATATTCGAACCATCGGGAAGTAGTAGTTCGTCCATTATGTGCTGGTAATTCAATCTATATTCATGGGTAATTCTTTAGTCGTGCATCGAAAATGTTAGTCGGTTTCTTCCACGACTTTTTTCCCAACATTGGAATCAAAGCCTACGTTATGATCTCTGCCTTATTTTTCTGTCGAGTTTTCGCTCGTTGTTCAATAAGGAGATCATTAGCAAATCGATTTCCAAACCTACTGCATGTTTAATGCGCTGAAATTGCTGTATGGATGGTCAACGAATCGTGTGCGATAGACGCATCTCGAGGTTGTAGGCGACCATTCTGTTTGGTCTTTTCCCGAAACATTTTTTTCCAGTGAAAATTGATTTTCATCACATAGGGTGATACATCTCGTCAAGACGAGCACAACGGTGGGTAGCACACCACGGAGGGACGCCGCACGCGCCCCCACGCACGGCCACAAGTCATTGGTCGTCAGCCCAGCGCTGCACGGCACACGCTTCATGCGCTGGGACAGCCTAGAGCATATGCTGCACGCGCGGATACTCCCGGCTGATGTCATAATAACTTCAGCCACTCGGACCGAGAACCCGACGGAACAACCCGACCCGACGACCCGACTCGGTAACCCAACCCGAGGACCCATTGACTGGTCAATGGTCAGACCGTTCATCGATCAACCGGTCGGACCGACTAGACTGGCTAGTTTGCTCGCGGAGCACGCACGTTACACGAGCTACGCACTTAGGCAGTGCGTATAGGCGCGTGGGAGCTTCGATCGGAGCGTGGTTGGTGCCAAAATGTTCGTATTGAAATTCTCTACATTTTGGTAATGTTAATTTACATGTTTGAGGCTTTTAAAGGTATAAAAATGCGTATGGAACCCTAAATATGCGTATTTTTGGGGTATTATTGCATTTTACTTGTATTTCCTATGGTTTTGGAAATACGGAAGCTAGCTTAGATGTAAATGACCACATACATATTGTGTAGAGCATGGTTCATTGATACCACGTGTAAAGCTTAACGTGCTTGCAATTTCAGTTCCGAGCAAACTCGAACAATGACCAGAGATCCTTATTTATTTTAGTATTATGCATTTGATTATAGTTGATGCATGAACTACTTATACTTTGGTTTACATCATGCTATGCCCTATGATTATATGAGCGAATGTGATCATTGCATGATGTATTTTAATCGTCTTTTCTAGTGGGAGTTCATAGGATGGTAGAATTCAAAGGAATCCTCACCTAGAACTTAAATTTTGCGCAAATTGAACAAAAATAATGATAGTAGACAATCGTAACATAGAAGCTGATTGGGAACATAGTGAACTTTCGCTTTAGTATCTTTTGTAAAATTATCATTAATTTAGTTTATCTTTGCTGCAAAATAAATATGTGTTAATGTAAAAAAATATGTGCTAGTATTCATTATGCGTTTATTGTGTCAATGTGTAATTTTCATTGATTATGGCTTCGGCATCTAAGACTATTGTGGCTGACCTCAACAAGGGTGAGAAACTCAACAGTGACAATTTTGATATATGGCACCGAAAGGTTCAGTACATCCTTGAAGAGCAAGAGGTTTTGGAGACCCTCAACCACACCATGATTGAACCTGAGCATGAAGCTATTGCTCATCACAAAAGAGATCATAAAGCTTATCAAGCTTGGAAAAAGAAAAATAGCATTGCTCGCGTCACGTTGCTAAGTTGTATGCAAGATGATCTCATGTGCGAGTTCGAAAGTTTTGATAAAGCTCAAGAAATTTGGGCTGCGCTGAAAGACAAGTTTGGGAGTACATCTGCTACTAAATTGGGGAGGCTCACCATCAAGTTTGACATATTTCGAAAGTGTCAAAATCAAACAATGAGGCAGCATCTTCAGGAGATGTCAAACATGATACGAGAGCTACAGATAGCATGTCATATCCTAAATGATGAACAACAAGTTCAGGTTGTTATAAGGTCTCTTCCGGGGTAAGTATAACGCAAGTGCTATAACTTTTGTACGGAGGACACTTAAGTGCCATAACTTTTTTTTGGCTCACTTGAGTGCCATAACTTTCAAAAAAAAGATCACTTAAGTGCCACTTACGAGCTGGTCGTGAGGGCTCGAAATCGCGGCTTTTCCGGCCGAACCATGACCTTCCCGGGGAGGCGAGCACCACCAGCTTGAAGAGGGGGTGTCGGTGAATCATTCCATGGCCTCCGTTCATCTTGAAATTTCCGTTTTAGCCTCCGTTGACGAAGGTAAAAATGCTTCGTAGTCACATTTATCGAGCCGATTTGTGTGACTACGAAGCATTTTTACCTTCGTCAACGGAGGCTGAAAAGGAAATCTCGAGACGAACGGAGGCCATGGAATGATTCACCGACACCCTCTCTTCAAGCTGGTGGTGCTCGCCTCGCCGGGAACGTCACCGTTCGACCGGAAAAGCCGCGGTTTCAGGCCCTCACGACTAGCTTGTTAGAGGGGTTGGTCGTGAGGGCCTGAAACTGCGGCTTTTCCGGTCGAACGGTGACCTTCCCGGCGAGGCGAGCACCACTAGCTTGAAGAGGGGGTGTCGGTGAATCATTCCATGGCCTCCGTTCGTCTCGAAATTTCCGTTTTAGCCTCCGTTGACGAAGGTAAAAATGCTTCGTAGTCACACAAATCGGCTCGATAAATGTGTGACTACGAAACATTTTTACTTTAGTCAACGGAGGCTAAAACAGAAATTTCGAGACGAACGGAGGCCATGGAATGATTCACCGACACCCCCTTTTCAAGCTGGTGGTGCTCGCCTCCCCGGGAAGGTCATGGTTCGGCCGGAAAAGCCCCGGTTTCGGGCCCTCATGACCAGCTCGTAAGTGGCACTTAAGTGATTTTTTTTTTAAAGTTATGGCACTCAAGTGAGCCAAAAAAAAGTTATGGCACTTAAGTGTCCTCCGTACAAAAGTTATGGCACTTGCGCTGTACTTACCCCGTCTCTTCCTGACAGTTTGGAGCATATGAAAATCAACATGATGCACAACAAGAATATCGTAACTTTTGATTATATAGCTCGTCATTTGGAATTAGAGGATGAGCGCCTAGAGGCTGTGAGATCCTCTACACCTGCTTATGTTGTTGAATCTAGTTCGCACAAAGTTTCGGGTTTCAAGGGCAAGAGGAACTACAATCTAGTTCGCACAAAGTTTCGGGTTTCAAGGGCAAGAGGAACTACAAATTCAACAACAAAGGGAAGGAGACTAGTCAGGCACCCAAGAGAGCTAAAACCCTCCGCCGCAGGAAGTGTGATGGGAAGAAGGACAAGGCCAAGATGAAATGCTACAATTATGGCAAGCTGGGTCACTTCGCTCGTGAATGCACTGAATTGAAAGAGGTATTAAATTACTCCATTACTTCGAGTAATGCTTTTGTTTCTAGCACTGTAATGCTTATTAAATCCCATCCTATGTGGACGGTAGACTCAAGAGACCATGTAGTTAGAGACCATGGAGCATTTGTGGAGTATCGTCGGATACAGCCTGGAAATAGATGGATATATGTTGGAAATAACTCAGGAATTGAAGTGAAGTGTATTGGCACATGTAAATTAAATTTACGTGGTGGTCG